TTATTTAATACTTACTGCATGCCCACTAAAGTACCAAACTGAATAAGGCTGCAAAGAAATTTAAGATACATTCTTTGATTTTAGGTGATTTGCAGTCCAGTTGGAAGACAAAACACAAGTGAAACAACTACAGGACCTTGAGATCGGTCTCATATCCATTAGGAATCCAAAGCAAAAAAGGAAAAGGGAGCTGAAGGGGTGGCCATAGTACTGGGCCATAGTTTAAAGGCTGGTCTCAATATAATACTGTTTTGATTGCATGCTCCTATTGTTTGTTTGTTTGTTTGTTTTTAAAGTAGGCTCCAAGCCCAACGTGGGGCTTGAACTCACAACCCTGAGATCAAAAGTCACATGCTTACTACTGACTGAGCCAGGCAGGCACCCCTGCATGCTCCTGCTGTTGAAAGAATGATATCAAGCACATTTCCTGTTCATGCTTATTATTGTACTTTCATTATTAGTATTATCCTCAATCTAATGCTTTTATGCAAAAAAATAAAAGATCTTTAAAAATCACTAGATCACTTTTGGGTTTGGTTAGAACTTCATAAAGTCTGTGTATATACTTAGCGAGGCACATACTGCCGTATGTTAAACATACTGAGAACTCACAAATGCATGCTGGCAGCATTGTGAGCCCTTCCCATTATGGGATCTTCTGCTTAGGAGTTTATGCAATTAAAATTTTAAAGCTAAATTTCTTAGGTTTTCTAGGCTTAAAAAACGTGTTTCTTGTGTTTCTTTCATGTACCCCCAGTGAATTATCATACCTGCTCCAGTTTGGGAAGCATTCCCTTTAGATAGTCTGGTTTTATGAGTATGTATTGTTGAGGATTAGTTTGACTACAGGTAACAAAGATCTGAAAAATATCATCTTAAACAAGACATTTATTTTTCACATAAAGGAGTGTGGAAGTGTAGGCAGTCTGGGGCTGAGATGGTGGCTCCCAAGAGCAGCTAATAAGATCCAGGCGTTTTCTACCTTTTAATCCTCCAGCTCCAGAAGTGGCACTTACGTTCTTCATCCACACATCCATATCCTCACATTCCAGGATGACTGTTCAGAAAGCAGCCTTGGCTTCAGGTTTAAGCACCAGGAGGAGGAAGGGAATGAGGAAGGACATATGACTTAACTTTAAGGAAGACTTCCTGGAAGTCCCACAAGCATTGCTGATTACATCTTATGGGCTAGAACTTTGTACATAGCCATACCTAATGTAAGGGAGGCTAAGAAATGTAGTCTTTTAACTAGGCAACAAAATACACAGCTAAAGATTGGAGTGCTATTCTAAGAGGGAATGGTGGAAATTGGGGTGGTTGACCATTAATTAGTCTCTGGCAAATGGAAGGATTCTGGAGGTTCTTTTTCTTTTTTTTTTTTTTGTAACAGCTTTATTGAAATACACTCCATATACCTTAGAGTTTACCCATTTCAGTGTACAATTCAGTGTCATATATTCATACTATATAGTATATTCATAGAGCTGTGGCTCTGCATCCATCTTAGTTTTGTCATCCCCAAAAGAAACCCCCACTGTTTCCTTAGTAATCATTTTCTTTCCTCCCTCCTCCAACTCCCTTAGGCAACCACCAACCTACTTTCTGTCTCTGTATTTTCCTGTTCTGAACATTTTATATATACACACATATACATATACATATACATATATGTACACACTTTTTTTTAAGATTTTGTTTATTTGACAGCACAAGCAGGGGGAGCAGCAGGGGGAGGGAGAAGCGGGCTCCTTGCTGAGCAGAGAGCCCGACATGGGGCTCCATCCCAGGGTCCTGGGATGATGACCTGAGCTGAAGGCAGACGCTTAACAACTGAGCCATCCAGGCACCCTGTATTGTGTTTTTTGTTTTTTTAATTTTAATGTGGGGCTTGAACTCATGACCCTGAGGTAAGAGTCCTATGCTCTACTGACTGAGCCAACCAGGTTACCCTGGAAATTTTATTCAAATGGAGACACTCAGTATGTGGTTCTTTGTGCAAGGCAAGCTTCTTTCACATATGTAATGTTTTCAAGTTTCATTCACACTGTGGTATGTATCAGCACTTTTTCCTCTATTTATTGCTGAACATGATTCCATTCTATGGAGATGTATATACCACATTTTATCCATTCATCAGTTGTTGGATGTTTGGTTTGTTTCCGCTTTTTGGGGGGGAAAATTTTATTTGGGCACCTGGGTGGCTCAGTTGGTTAAGTGTCTGCCTTGGGCTCAGGTCATGATCCTGGGGTCCTGGGATCGAGACCCACAGAGGGCTCCCTGCTCCTGGGGGGCTGCTTCTCCCTCTCCCTCTGCCTGCCGTTCCGCCTGCTTGTTCTCTTTCTGTCAAATAAAATCTTAAAAAAAAAAAAAGATTTTATTTATTTAGAGAGTGCAGGAGCAGGGGGAGGGGCAGAGGGGGAGGGAGAGAATCTTCAAGCTGACTCCTTGCTGAGTGCTGAGCCCAACATGGGGCTCGATCTCATGACCGGAGCCAAAACCAAGATTTGGACACTTAACTGACTGAGCCACCCAGGTTCCCCAACTGTGATGAATATTTTAATGCTACTGAACATTTGTGTATAAGTATTTGTGTGAACATAGGTTTTCATTTTTCTCAGATGTATGTCTAGGAATGGAATTGCTGGGTCATATCTATTCAGATCCTTTGCCCATTTTTTTTTTTTAAGATTTAATTTTTTAGAGAATGCATGAGCGCAGGGGGAGGAACAGGGGCGGGGGAGAAAGGGGGAAAGAATCTCAAGCAGATTCTGCACTGAGTGTGGAGCCTAATGTGGGGCTCGATCTCACCACCTTGAGATCAGGACCTGAGCCGAAACCAAGAGTCAGATGCTTACCCGACTAAGCCACCCAGGCACCCCCCAAATCAATATCTTTATTGCAGTCTCATGAGAGACCCTGAGCCAGACCATCCAACCTAAGCTGCTTTTTTGTTGTTGAGTTCTAGGGGTTCTTTATGTATTCTAGATACACATCCCTTATTAGGTATGTTATTTGCAAACATTTGCTCCTATTTGTGGGTTGTCTTCTTATTTTCTTCTTTTTTTTAAAACGTAGACTCCACACGCAGCATCTGGCTTGAACTCAGGACTCTGAGATCAAAACTCATATGCTGAGCCAACCAGGTGCCCCATGTCTTCTCATTTTCTTGATGGTATCTCTCTCTTTCTCTCTTTTTTTTTTTAAGATTTTATCTATTTATTTGACAGAGACACAGCGAGAGAGGGAACACAAGCAGGGGGGAGTGGGTGAGGGAGAAGCAGGCTTCCTGCGGAGCAGGGAGCTCGATGCGGGGCTCGATCCCAGGACCCTGGGGTCATGACCTGAGCCAAAGGCAGACGCTTAACGACTGAGCCACCGGCACCACAAAGCACAAAAGTTTTAAAAATTTTGATGGAAGTCCAATTACCTATTTTTTCTTTGGTTGCTAGTGATAAATATATTCTTTTTTTTTTAAATTTATTTATTAGAGCAGATGAGCATGCATGGAGGGGTGGGCCAGAGGGAGAGAGGGAGAGCGTCTCAAGCAGAGTCCATGCTGAGCATGGAGCCTGACATAGAGCTTGATCTCAGGACCCCAGGACCCACATGAAGTAGCTAGTGGTAAAATTCATGAGCCACCCAGGTACCCCTGGGCCTGTAATCCATCTTGAGTTAATTTTTGTATATGATGTGAGGTGTAGCTTTCTAACTTCATTCTTTTGTGTGGATCTATTCAGTTGTCTCAGCACTATTTGTTGAAAAGACGTTTTCTTCCATCAGATTGTCTTGGCATCCTTGTTGAAAATCACTTGTCCCTAAATGTGGGAGCTTATTTCTGGACTCTCAATTCAAGAAGCCAGCTGGTATTTTGATAGGGATTGTCTTGAATCTGCAGAATAATTTGGAGGATGTTGCCGTTTAACAGTATTGTCTTCCAAGTCTTTTCATTCATTTAGATCTTTCAACAATGTTCTGGAGTTTTCACTTTTTTTTTTTTTTTTAAAGATTTTATTTATTTATTTGACAGAGAGCACAAGTAGGCAGAGAGGCAGGCAGAAGGAGAGGGAGAAGCAGGCTCCCCACTGAGCAGGGAGCCGGACGCAGGGCTCGATCCCAAGACCCTGGGATCATGACCTAAGCCGAAGGTAGCCGCTTAACCAACTGAGCCACCCAGGTGCCCCTGTTTTGGAGTTTTCAGAGTATATTTTGTACTTTTGTTAAATTTATCCCTATTCTTTTTGAAGGTATTGTAAATGAAATTGTCTTAATTTCATTTTCACTTTGTTCATTACCAGGTTATAGAAGTACTTGATTTTTGTATGTTCATCTTGTATCCTGCAACCTTACTGAATTTGTTCTAATAATTTTTAATGGATTCCTTAGGATTTTCCATATATATATATAAGGTCATGTCATCTACAAGTTAAGATAGTTTTACTTCTTCCTTTTCAGTCTGGATGTCTTATCTCATTTTCTTGCTTAATTACTCTGGCTAGAATCTTCATTATCATGTTGGATAGAAGTGGCAAAAGTGGCCATTCTTGTCTTGTTCTAATCTTGAGGATAAGCTTTCAGTCTTTTTACCATTATATAACAGTTTGTGGCGCCTGGGCAGCAGTCAGTTAAGCATCAATTCTTGGTTTCAGCTCAGGTCGTGATCTCATGGTCCTGGCATAGAGCCAGGCGTCAGGCTCCACACTCAGCACAGAGTCTGCTTAAAGATTCTCTCTCCTTCTCTCTCTCTCTCTCTCTCCCCCTCACTCCATTCTCTCTCTGTCTGTCTCTCTCTCTCTCAAATAAGTAAATAAATCTTAAAAAGAAAAAAAGTATAACCCATTAGTTGTGGAGTTTTGGTGTCAAGTGGTAAGTTGTACTAGCATTTTGTATTTGGGTGTGCTAATAGAGGCTTGTGCCCCATGGTCAGAAAAGTGTGTGTCATAGCCTGGGGCTATTAATAGCTTCTTGTGCGTTCTAGATAACACCTTTGTCTCATGTTTCAGCATGGCTGCCATCCGGAAGAAACTGGTGATTGTTGGTGATGGAGCCTGTGGCAAGACTTGTTTGCTCATCGTCTTTAGCAAGGACCAGTTCCCAGAGGTGTATGTACCCACAGTGTTTGAGAACTATGTGGCAGATATTGAAGTTGATGGAAAGCAGGTAAGTACACTTTTCATAACAACTGGTTTCATTTTGCATCTTAGGCAAAAATGTTCATAGAGCCTGTAGAGAATTAGGACTTTTTGTCTCTTCAGTACACAATATAATAATAACAAACATGTTTGAGAAATCCATTCTGTTCCTGCCATCATAGCCCAACTTTGTTCATTTTTAACTGCTGTCATCTAGACTTTAATCACATCCCTATGTATTTTACATAGGGAAGCCTCTTTACAGCTTTATATTTGAAATTTAGTTTGTTGCCAGATGGATAACGCTAAAATGAATCTCTTCGTATGGATGGACTTCCCCAGTTCTGTCATATATCATTCAGTGCTGAAGTATGAGATTACTAGGTCAAGAGGTCATTTTATGGGTCTCAAAGGGGTATACTGATGTACACCACCAGCAATGTGACATTTACATAATATTCTCATATTTAATTTTTTTTAATAGTGTTTTACTTTAACATAAATAGGCCGCCACCATTGCTTCAATTACCTGTTACTGGCAACAAGGACAGTGTTTCTTCGTGTCTGTCCTGAAAGTCCACTGGCAAGACCAGAGCAAGACTCTCCTGGAATTAGAGTTTATATATATATTTTTTTAATTTTCTGTCTCCCCCCCCCCCCCTTTTTTTTTTAAAGATTTTATTTATTTGACAGAGACACAGGGAGCACAAGCAGGGGGAGTGGGAGAGGGAGAAGCAGGCTTCCTGCTGAGCGGGGAGCCCGATGCGGGGCTCGATCCCAGGACCCTGGGACCATGACCTGAGCGGAAGGCAGACGCTTAACGACTGAGCCACCCAGGCGCCCCCTTCTGTTCCCTTTTGTGTCAAATAATGTCTTACCCAGCTCCTGTACAACTTTTGGAGAGGCATGAAATTCCCACTGCAAATGGGTCAGCTGAAAAGAAACTAGAACAAGGGGCTCTTCTCCAATATATTCAGTCCTCTTGGGCATTCATTTACATGTCTCATGCTGCTAGCACCTAATATATTGGCCCCCATAATTCCATGCCCTTTCTCCCTTCTCATTTTCCTGCTTTACCTATTACCGCTTTCTGTCCCGGTGCTACCTAGCTTCAGTTTGTGGCACCGGGTATGGAAAGCACATTAAGCTAGCTATTCAGATTTCTAGGGTCCCTGAAATAAAAGTGCTTCTTAGCAACTCAGTAGCCTACAAGTTGAGAGAGGGTGCTAGGAATGTTCATTTAAGAGTATACAGTAATAGTCTAGGAAACCATCCAAGATTCTAGGTGATTGTGGTTCCAGGAACAGACCTACCAAAGATGGAAAAGCCCATTCTGACAAGAGATAGGGCCAACATCCAAAGCATTTATCAGGAGATAGGGTTGGATGTGTCTGACTGAGCACACATGAGGCTTGGAGGGGCCAAGGTAGTGCGATTAGGCAGAGAGTGAATGAGCTGTACCATTCTGAGGTTCATTCTGTTCTGAGGCTTGGGTATCAATGTATTAGAAATACACATACTAAAAAAAAAAAAAAAAAAAAGACACATACCAAACCAGTAGTGTGTGTGCATGACAGAAGTGCAGTGGGTCTAGTGGAGGTTGTGAGCGATGCATCCTAGGGCAGAGATTGAGGGTGGAAGAGATAATTAGCCATCAACTTTAAGGAAAGAATGATATTTAGAAACTTTGAAATATGTGCTGTGAAGGCTCTAGGAAAAAAGGGTATTCCAAGTACTAGAAGGAGAGCTTTTGGCTCCAAAGCCTCTCTGAGCAGAAGTATTAAAATCCCACTCAGAGCCCAGGCATCAGTTTGCCCTCCTACCACAGGAAGGTGAGCAGGTTCCAGGTGTGAAAGGAGTACCCTGCTCTCTTAGTGATGCTTTCATTCAGATATTTTTTGAGCAGAAAAGGCAGGTCCAGAGACCTTTCTTGTCCACTGAGACCTTGCCTAACATCCAGCATGGTGTTTTCTTACCCACCTACTCAAATGTAGTCTTTTTTTTTTTTTTTTTTTGTTTTATTTACTTATTTGAGAGAAAGAGTAAGCGTGAGTGCGGGGAGGAACAGAGGGAGATGGAGAAGTAGACTCCCCACTGAGCAGGGAGCCCGACGTGGGGCTCGATCCCAGGACCCTGGGATCACAACCTGAGCAGAAGGCAGATGCTTAACCGACTAAGCCACCCAAGTGCCCCTCAAATACAGTCTTGTCTCCATGTTTGTACATTGAGCAGAATGATGAGACCAAAAAAGGGCAACAATTGAGTTAGAATGTATTGGGAAAAGTTACTCAGGTCTGATGTTTCCTTGTCTTGCTTTGTACACCTGATAGAATGTTCTTTATAGTTTGATTTTCCTTGTTCATCTGCCTTTCTATGTAGAATGTTGTTTATAATTAAATACTGTGCTTTTTACAAACTATAAAGTTATTTTTGATTTGATATTTTAAATTATGTACTAATTATGTACTTTATTATATACTTTATGTACTCTAGTATTTTGAGAAATTTCAACCTAAAACAATTTAAACACACTGTCCAGCTCAGGCTTGTTTTACTGTTTTGGACAGTTTGCCATTTGAATGTACTTTGGTGAGTACCACTTCGTCTGAAAGTGGGGAGGATTAACCTTGCATTCTTGTGTTTATTTTTCCTATCACAGGTAGAGTTGGCTTTGTGGGATACAGCTGGGCAGGAAGATTATGATCGCTTGAGGCCTCTCTCCTATCCGGACACTGATGTTATACTGATGTGTTTCTCCATTGACAGCCCTGATAGTTTAGGTGAGTAACTCTGCAGCCTGATGTTTGTCACTGTCTGTGTGCCTGGCTGACACCTGGTTTCTCAGGTCATTTCTGTGCATCAAGTCATTGAAAAGCAAACATGAACTTCATAGAAGGAATCATCAGTGACCAGAGTCCTAGAGCCTTGGGACTAGAAAGCCTGGGCCCTGGCTCACTTTTCAGCCTAGGTCTCCTATGTGTCTACCTTGTAAAGTAGGTGGGTTCCAAATACAAAGCCATCTTTTCTACTAAAATTTGAGGAAGGCTTTTTTAGGTGCTCACACCTTTTTTCAGTACTTCGTTTTGAACCTGTTGCTTCCCAATATCTAAACTGGTGATTTGCTGTTTCCTGGTAGTGTATTTGTTTGTTTAAAGGTTTATTTATTTATCTGAGAGAGAGAGTGCGCGGGGAGGGTCAGAGGGAGAGGAGGAGAAGCAGACTCCCCCGAGATCAACAGTTGGATGCTTAGCCAACTGAGTCACCCAGCACCCCTCCTGGTAGTATTTTTAAAGCCCCATTTTAGCCGTTTTCTAAAGTATCTTAGCTAATAAAGAGAGACTTGAACTTGACCATTTCACCAGCTCAGTTGGTCACATGTCTCAGAAGCCACCTTCCTTCAGAAAAAGACCGAATAACACTGACCTCATACTCTGCGAAGCAAGGCACCAAGGTCTGAAACAGAACTTACTTTCGGTTTGTACCTAAGAGGATAAAATGTTTCTCTTGGTGATGTAGTGCTCTGTCTTTACAAGGTAGCAGTTGGGCCAAGAACATTGTCATCATTAACACAAACAACCTTGGAGGGCCTGCTGGTGATGTGGGCTTGCGCTGGCCAATTAGGGTTATGTGACCTTTTTTTTTTTTTTGGTCATGGTTATACTCATTTTAATGACAGTACTTGGGCGCTCCAAGATTTTGAGCCCCTTGAATCAGGGTTATGCATCCCAAGGCATCAAGCTGAGACTGAGCCTCTGTGCAGTGTCTCCCAAGACTGAGCCTCTGTGCAGTGTCTCCCAAGACTGAGACAGATAGAGCAGGTACTCTCTGCCATTGGTTCACTTCAGTCATTTTCAACAGTTGTTTCAGTTTTGGTTTCTCAAACGAACCTGGCTATCTTTGGGAGTCTGTTGGAAGGCCCGAGAAGATGGGGCATAGAAAAAATAGAGCCGTGCGAGACCCTCCCTTCACACACACATCATGGATTTGTCTAAGTCCTGTGGGAATGAGGAGGAATGCGTGCCCTATATCTCATCATCCAAGGTATAATCCTTTAGGGACAAAAACACTTCAGAGCAAAAAGTTACTTTTCTCCATGTCTCCTAGTCTCAAAGGAGGTCTTTAGCACCCCCCGCCTCCCGCCGGCTTTTTTAAAGTAGGCTCCACCCCCAGCATGGAGCCCAGTGTGGGGCTTGAACCCTGAGATCAGGACCTGAGCTGATAATCAGGATTCAGGTGCTTAGCTGACTGAGCCACCCAGGTGCCCCTCTTTAGCTTTTGACTTCTCTTTACTAGCCATGACTTGTTTTTTGCTGGCCCTTCTCCCAAAGGGCAGGCCCTGGGGAGGAGAGTAGAGGTAGAAAGTAAAGAGGCAAAGGAGAGATCCCTGAAATACAAATACACCTGGGGAGAGGGTCTGATGTTGGAGGATGCTCTGCCTTCCCTGGAGGTCACTGCAGGAGTGTGGTTGATAGGTGGACCCCTTTTGCTGAGCTGACTTAACTAGCTTGGTTTTGCCAAAGTCCTTTTAAAAGTTCTGTTGTCTTGGCTTGGATATGGGGAGAATCTCACCAGTAGTTTGCCCAAGTAAAATGTGTTATGGGAACTCAAAAAGTATGGATCAAGAAAATGAAAAGCTAATGTCAACCTAATGTTAAACTTTGTTTTATGTGATTGGATGTTATTAGACTATGGCCCTGTATGTAGGTATAGGATAACAAGTTTGATCAGGAATCAGAATGTTGGTGTGAAAGTTTCAGCCCTGCTGCCAGCCAACCCTGTGATAATTTTACTTTTTGAGCGTCTGCTGTCTGGACTGGCAGTTGTTCTAGAGTCTTTATTCTAGTTGAGACCTGGGGTAGCAAACTTCTAAAAGACCAAATAGTAAATACTTTAGGCTTTGTTGGCCATATGTTGTACTGAACTTCGCCACAACTACTCAATTTCACTGTTGTATCACAAAAGCAGCCGCAGAATATATATAATGAATGAGCTTGGCTATGTTCCAGTAAAACTTATTTTAAGAAAAAAAAAGATTTTATTTATTTTAGAGAGAGAAAGAGTGTGAGCGAGCAGGGGTGGGGGGAGCAGAGGGGGAGGGAACGAAAATCTGAAGCAGACTCTACTCAGCACTGAGCCAGACACAGGGCTCAATCCCACCACTGTGAGACCATGACCTGAGCTGAAACCAAGAGTCGGATGCTTAACTGCCTAAGCCACTCAGGCTCCCCAAAGATGCTATTTTTTGAGAGAGCAAGGGCACGTGTGCTCACTCAAGCAGGGGGAGCAGTAGAGAGAGAGGAAGAAGCAGGCTCCCTGCTGAGCAAGGAGCCCCATGTGGGGCTCGATCCCAGCACCCTGGGTTCATGACCTGAGCCAAAGGCAGATGTTTAACTGACTGAGCCACCCACGTGCCCCTTATTTTTATAAGTATTTTTTTAAAGTAGACTCCAGACAAGATTTTATTTGCTGACCCTGATCTAGATGATAAGGATTTTTACTCTCTAGCTTTCTGGAATTCCCAAAGGCCCTCATACAACCCCACTGTAAATCCACACAGAGTGATAAGCCTCAATGTTATCAGATTATTTCGGGGATGGGAGATACTATAGGTGATTGCCATCACTGGATTACATAAAGTTTTAGGGGTGCCTGGTTGGCTCAGTCAGTAAAGCATGAGACTCCTGCCTCAGGGCTGTGAGTTCAAGCCTCATGTTGGGCATGGAGCCTACTTTCAAAAAAGCGGGGGGGAGGGGGGGCGCAGAAAAGAAAAAAATTAAGTTTTAAAGTTATTCATGAAAAGAGAAGGCAAGACAGAGGTAATTCATTTTAATTTATGTGTCCTGAATTTCCAGGGGGTGGGGAGACTATTGGAGTAATAATTTCATACATTCAGCAAATAATTACTGAGCACCTATTTATGGAAGAAATTTCTAGATTAAGGGAGACAGAAGAGCAAAAACAACAGTAAATCCAAAAAAAAAATCTGATAGCAAGAAATTTTACAAATAGCATTCTTAGAGGTGGGTGTGGAATGGGCCATGGTAGTACTCTGTTTTAGAGGATGACCGTAGGATGGTCAGCAACCATACTGAAAAGGTGACTTCTGGGAGAGACCTAAAGGATCTGAGGGAAGCAAATACAGATATCTAATAAAAGAACCTTCCAGGTAGGGGGAACAGCAGATGCAAAGTCACCAAGGCAGGAAGAGGAAGGAAGGAATCCAGTGCAGCAGAAGAAGTGGGAATGAGGGTTGCAAAGCCATGTGGTTAATGGTGTGGACTTTTCCTTTCATCATGAGTGAGTTGGGAACTGGATTGTGAGAAGGATTGAACAAGGGAGTGATGTCTCACTTACCTTTTAAAGTGATCACTGTCACAGCTGAACTGAAAAGTGACCGCAGGTGCAGAGGTGAGAGCAAGGTTCAGGCTGAGGCTGTTTGGCATGGTCGTTAGATGGGTTGGCCCTTTTCTCTGTATTACTCTGCATTGTTCTGAGGACTGGAACACTGCACTTCTTTGGGAACCTCTTTGTTTCAGAATAAAACTTTTGAGTTTTAAGTTGTGACATTAGTGATAAAATTGACTCTATTGTTGCTGTAGCAAAGCACAGTCAAGTGTCCATCTTGTGTGCCGAAGAGTAGAGCATCAAATTATGTAAGTTTCCTGACCTTACTCATATAGCTTCTTTATCTGATACGGTCTTTCAGCCAGAAGACAGAGCATCTTCCATATTCTAAATAACTCTTGCCTTTTGGTAATTTGTCTTGAAGTCAGAGAATGAAGTTTACTTTTTTTTTTAAGATTTTATTTATTGGGCGCCTGGGTGGCTCAGTTGGTTAAGCAACTGCCTTCGGCTCAGGTCATGATCCTGGAGTCCCTGGATCGAGTCCCGCATTGGGCTCCCTGCTCGGCGGGGAGTCTGCTTCTCCCTCTC